AGCAAATAGTGTATGTTTTTAGTGTTAAAACTACACCTACAAAGGGATGAAACAGAATGTTAAACTTTTTATCGAAAAAACTCTCTCTGAAAACTTCTGAAAAAGGGTTCTTTAAAAATAAAATTTTAACTATCTTAACCTCACTTTTTATAGTGACAAATTTAGTTCCTTAATATGTAAAGCCTTTTTCACATTTAAAGCGCGGTTTACACAATCATGGCCTACTGTTATGCCAATTTCAATGAAATGGATTATATAGCTTGTTCCAAATCTGGTGGCGAACTGACGTTTTCAAAAATGACTGAATTTTGACACTAAACGTATGTTTACTACTAAAAAAAATATTGTTCATAGGCATCGTATGAAATAATATTTCAAAACCACTGTTATTCTTTAAAAAATTATAATAAGTAGGTACCCGTACATAAGATGAAGAATGATGAACAAATTATTAAATTGTTAACACATGAAAAGAATTTTCAAAAATGATATTCCTAACAATCCTTGTCTTCAAAATTTTTAGAGAAAAAAGTACGCCCATGTATTTTTTTATCTTAACCAAGTGAGCACACTCCAAGTGTCTTTGCTGTCACTGTCAGTTCGCCACCAGATATGGAATAAACTCTACCTTAGTATTTTGTTTCAATGCTTTTGTTATCTAAATTATATTAAAAATGTTGGTATAACTTTATGATCATGTCTTGTTGACCTAATTTCAAACTCAAGTAACTATCTAGTTCTCCTAGTTTTGCTTTATTGCAAAGTTCCTCGGAAAATTTTATTAAACTTCGACTAGACTTCTTTGATTTAATTTCGATACAATCCCGCTTTCAAAGAGTTATTATCTTTCAAATCTAGAATTTTTAAGCTATATCCAGTTATTTTTTCGGTGGAAGCAATTAAAGTCGACAAATTTAGGATTTCAACAGCAAGACAGTGGACTAATTAAATTATTAATTTCGTTAAAAACTGCAACTTCACTAAGCAGACTTGCTGCTTAGGGAGTTTTTCATAATTTACAATTTCCTCCTTTAGTAACTAATTTAAGAGTTTCATCCGAATTATATTACGTTGAACCAAGAAGTAAAAATAATTACCACAATTCTCCAATTTTGAAGCTGTATTCTAAATTCAAGCAATATTATTTTTTCATGAAATAGTGTTATAATTACTAATGTGTATAATTACTCGACTTGCCTAATTTCCGCTTTCCGTTCTTCTTCTGTTTACTAATGGATCATCCTGAGCGGAAGAGTGGCTAAAGTTTATAACAAATAATTTAACAGAGGTTGGAAACCCCTCAATTATTTTAAAAATGTGTATGTGGTTTAAAAGTGTTATAACTTAACAAAAATCAATCACAACCTGAATGTACATCCTGGGATCAAAACTCAAGAGTTATAATTGACCTAAGCTCCTAAGATGCATCTGTTGTGAGCAAAGTTGCCTTGTTGACGAAATTGGAAACGGGACCGATCGAGTTATCTCAAAGTTAAATAATAACTTCTGCTCCGCTTTTCTGCGGAAAAATCTATGCCTCGAGCTTTTTACTTGTCCGATCTTTCAAGGCGGAAAAATTGTAGAAAAGTGAGAGATGAGGATGAGTTACAGTGACAACGGTTGATGTTACAATAATGTCATTAGCGACTGTGTCATAAAGTCAGTAAAAGATGGGCCCCTGGGCAACTCATGTGACGGCAATAAACAAGGAGATTTTAGCAGAGGCCTGGCTTGAAACGGAGACAGAAAAATACTTCTTTAGACAAGCGTAATAAAACGCACAATAAAGTTGTAACATATGATCGCGGCTGTGATTGCTCAAAGTGAGGTCTTATTACCATTCACCACTCAAACGCACGGTGAGAAACACTTTGTGAAAAAGTTTCGGCAAAAATATGTTTCACAGAAGCGGATTTTTTTTACTCAAGTGCAGTTAAACTTGTGCCCATTACTGTAAAAAAAAATTTAAAAAACTCGAAATTTTATTTCTTGTCGGCAGCTTCTAGAATCTGATCACCACTAGTCAAAAAAAAAATTAAAAAATTAAGATTTATTATATTGGTTCATCATTATCATTTTACTTTTAGAATAATATTGAATTTCTTTTGTATGCTTTCTCAAAAACGCGTTCAATATTCCGTCGAATGTCTTTAGTAGAAATTCTAGTGAACTGACCCGATTAAATCAATCGCCGTTTAAATTTGGCCAGTTGATCAAAGTGCTTGAACAAGGCAATTTCCTTATAACGCTTGTCGAGTTCCACTTTATTCCCACATATTTGTAAAATGGAAATCTAGAAGCGTATTTTCAATATTCAACAAAGTGTTTTCGTTTCTCTGGATGCCTCGTTCGAAGTGTCGATGGATAAATAATAGGGAACAAAACGCTACTTACATCTCACGACAAGTTGGACGGCATTACTGGTGCTTTTGCCTTCCACGTTGGTGGCCATACACGTGTAAGCACCTCCCGTGGCTCTAGTTACACTTTGCAACACCAGGCTTTGATCGCTCATGATCACTCCAGCAGTGACGTTTTGGAAAATTTCGACTCCCTGGAAAAGTAAACTCCGAATAGGTAGCGCTCAAGTGAAAACCTTGAACAACTTTTTAAAGGCCTTTGACAGATTAGGTCCATTTCGTCTTGAACTTGTAGCACACAAAGATAAATTATTCTGTGCCCTCGCTATGCAATATAAATCGTGTCTTAAAAAACACGCTGACTCTTCACAGCAATAATTTTGCATGAAGCGTCCTAAATATACGTGCATAAAAGTCTATTCAACAAGTAATATGAAAGAGTTTCCGAACTTTCGGCCTGTACAACAAACTTCGAGGAAGTTGTTTTCTTAAATACTTACGTCGTGGAACCAGGAAAGTTTGTAAGCTTTGGGGTTGGCCCGGATATTGCATTCGAAATAAACGTCGTCACCTTCTTTGATATCGTCCGGGTTTAATGTCGAGCCCATTTTTAGAGTCACCACAGGAGTATCTACAATAAAGCCCAATGTTTTTAAAAGGTTTATACAACCATTAATTAACAAGCAAACAGTTTTAACGGAATCAAACAAAATTAAATCGAAATGAACACGACAAGTAACCACGTAACAAATCAATTTTGAGCCACAACCCTTCGGGACTTATTTGAAACGCAAAGGCCTCAATGTGGACATTGATTTTGTTGAAAACTGGCCACACAAAAGTTCATCAGGGGTGCTTAGTGGACACAACTGAGCTAAAAGTTTGTACAAAACCACAATTCCAGTGGAAAATTATACTCATATGTAGTGTATAATCATTGCGCGAATTTTTACTCTCTTTATTTCAGAAGATTTCATTACTCAAACTCCAAAAAATAAACCTCATCAAAAACAAAACTATTTCTTTGTGTCGTAATAGCATCAACTTCGTAATGTGTCCATCACAGGCTTTCCGTCCCAAAGTCTTCCACACAATGCAGCCACGAATTAATTCCTTAGAAATAAGAGTACTACTCGCAGCTTCTATTGTAATTTGAAGCGTGCATTAGTTTTTTCTTCTTGATTTCTGGACTCAACAAAGAAAATTTAAATGTCAAACAGTCACGAAAAATAAAAGCAACTTACCACCGCAACAATGCATTAAAAAAGGTAAAATCCGCACAAAACGATAATTATTCCTGAATTCTATATTTTTCGAATTTGGTTGGCCAACAGGACAAATCGGTTTGCACAATATGGTAAGAGATAAGGGTCCGGTTCGATTTAGTTTTCCTTGAGAATAATTCTGAAGAGAATAAATATAACTTACAATGGACATTTAATCTCCACTTGTCCTCGAGCGCGCTTTCAGGGATGGACGGGTTTTCAGCTCGACAGGTCAAGTATTTGCCGTCGTCATCGATCACAGGGACAAACGTCAAAATACTTAGGCTCTGGTTGTTTTGTTCCGAAAACTGAAAAAAGAATCATTTAATTAGATGCACATAAATATAATCAATTCTCCTCAAAATAACAGTTTCATAATGGTGACTTAGTGTCTATCTTCAGTTATACTCTTAATTAAATAATTTCATTGTTTATTTATACAAACATTTAATCTATTTCTTAATTGCTAAACTTTGAGGAAGGAAAGTTTCGATTGGTATAATGCACACTATTTGTCGTAACTTTCCAACTCGGATTCGAAAAAACGGCAAACATTGTAGTTTTAATAATTAACTAAGCAATTAGACCCCATAAAAGTTACATGGGTTAGTTCCGCTTTAGGAGAACCTTTCTAAAAAGGTGCAAGATTTTTCGAGCTTCGAAGGATTTAAAATTGCGCACGCTATAATCTCTCTATTAAATTGTAATAAAGCAGAAAAATAAGAATGAAGCTCTTACCTTTTCGGTTTATTTGTTTAATTAAAGTAAAAAAATTTCCAAGCTTTAAAAACGATTATTAAAATTCAAATACAGTCGGAAGCTTTGTCCAATAAAATTTACTTGTGTTGTTTTTAAGTTTTTAAATACGCGAATGGAATCGAAATAATGGAATTTATTAAAACTTTGCTTCACTTTCCGCAATTTAATAGGATAAAAACAGTATTTTAAGCCTCATTAACTTTTAAAAAATTCTTTCAGTGTCTGGCAATCATTTGTTACGCATACTTTCTGACGCCATCTATTCAACTAAGTTTGAATTTCTTTACACAGTCCTTGCTTTTATTCAGTTTTCAATAGCTTGGCGTTGCACAAAGGATAAGCAGCCTGCTGGTGATTAGGGTGAACTCAAACGAGAGTAATGTGAAATGGTGGATACATGGGAAAATTAGACTGACGGTTTATGGAAGATGCGAATTTTGACAAGTAGGGATTTTGATGCAGCTCCATTTTAAATTGTTTTGTAGCTAGATATTACAAACTCATATAATAAATAGAGATACAGTGATAGGGAGAATTAGATCACAAAGAAAGTTTTTACTTGAAATGCATTGAATAGAGACATCGGAGCAGCTTGTGACAAGTTAATCTAGAGCTCCATATCTTCGAGTCTCAATTTTGAAAATGGAAATAAAGGAAAATGTTAATTCGAAGTAAATGCTGTGGGAGCAGTGAAAGGTGAAATATTGGGTTGTGTAACGTACCTGGCAAAACAATTTAGTTTTCAGAAAATATATTATATGTAATTATATATCAGTGTCAAGCCAGAAATGGTTTTGAACATGCATTCGATAAATCACGTTGCAGCCACTAGATTATCAACAATCCAGTGTTTATGCAAAATATTCCCTCCAAATTAATATTGTTTATACGTAATTTCCTTTACGGCTTTGCAATTTCCTCGCTTTAAAACCGATTTGCATATAAAATAAGTTTTGATCACGGCTGTTTGGAAATTATTTACGAATATTAGCAGTTTATGTTCTATAATGAGCAAAAATGGTGTAATATAAGTGACGTCATTTGATCCTCGACATTATTAAACCCTGCAGGAGTCAAGGAGAAATTTTTAATTAAAAGCAAGTAACCTGCCATTATGGCAAAACTTATCAAGAAAGTTTGATTAAATTCATAAAAGAGCACCGAAACAATCGCTACAAATAGAGAGTGTATTTTTTCCGGGTCGGTGATAATTGAATGAAATTACGATGAGATCTACTCACGTTTTTTGCTAGTTTTCTGACAGGTCTGCTTCCTTTCCACCATGTTATAACTGCGTCGGGCCTTGATCCAGACGTCCTACACTCAACTTCGTAACGTTTGCCTGCTGACACTTGTTTTTCTTTTGTTAGGATATTTACCATTTGGGGTTTTACTGAAAAAAATCAGAGAGGATAATGAGGGTTTTACCTTTGACAGAAAATGCTTTGATCCAAGTTTGTCTCATGCAGAAGACTACCTTCAGGCGATTTACGCATCATAGAAATTCCAATTTTTCAGCTAAGAGGCAAAATAGCCTTACAGAAAAAAGTAATAATGTCACTTATATTATATAGTTTTCTGTAAAACAAAAAACTAAAAAAAAAAAATATGTAGTCGCATTTACTGGAACATTTATTAGAACAGATGTCAACAGATTTTTTTTAATGAAAACACAAATATAAAATATCTATTATAACGTCTGTCCGTAAAAAATCAAACGAAACTTATTTCTAATAACTGAAGTGTAAATTAAAGATTTTGTGTTCTTAAATTTAAGGCCTCTTACGCATAAACGTAGATTTTACGACATGTAGGTTTGTAGGTACGCATGTAGTTATGTATGTACATACATGCATTATCATGTACACAAAAATGCAAATGTGTAATGAAATTGTTATTCGTAAGAAATTGTATCTTTTTCTCTCGCAGATGGAAGTTACTGTCCAATACTTGTCGAGGGAGAAAAGACATTTTCCTCCAGTGTAATACATATAATTTTCCTACGATTCAGCAAAAAAACCTTCAAACACAAGATTTTTTTCTTAACATTCCAGTTTTGCTATTATATCTAGCAGCATGTGTTTATGTTTATGAGGGAGGTAAAATTTTTACCTTTCGGAGAGGTTACACATATTTTTAATGTAATCTTGCCACATGAAGAAAAAAAATACCTCCCCGGGAAGTAATTGACCACTTTCCTTTCTAAAATTAGGGTGGAAAAACTCACTTTTTATTAGGACCGTAGGAAAGAACGATTATGACAACGCCGCGATTATTATTCAATTTTAAATAAAAACGAGATATAATTAAGCAGTGAAATAAAAATCTGTTTAGAAAAACTACGTTACAAAATTTTTATATAAGTGATTGGGACATTTATTGATTTTGCGCGTTGTCACCACCATAAAAATGGTTATTGCCGTTTCAGCAAATCGTTTAAAAATTTCCACCACATGCAAACAATCATTTTGTTGTAATTAAAATCTGAAAATACGTCATAGTTTATTAAAAAAGTGTTAGTTTTTTTCCATTTTGAATCACGTACTTTGTTAGATCATTATCCAAAATGTGTGTCAATGTGTTAAAAAAGTTAATAAACGTCACTGTGCTGTGCTATTTTGAGAATGTCGTATAGATCATTAGAAGGCGAGACAAAACGGCCATCGTAGTCACTTAATATATCTTGGATGATTTTTATCACCCGAATTTAATAGTTGGTCGTAAAATGGGACACTAACGAGTACAAATGTTCGTTATTAAAATATAAGAGGATCTTTGGTTATAGTTCTTTAGTGAGCCGTCCATTACAGTAATGAACAATCTATTCCTGTCAAAAGAGTCTAAGCAGAAATAATAGTCTACAATAACACTAATCCCGAGAAGATTACTAATAACAAGTGATCCAGCAGGTCCTAAATCTTCCCTTACCGAGAGATTATCATCCGCAGGCGCCTCTCGTCCGGTTAAACCGTTTTCTTTTATTCCCCTCGATGTAATTCGTGCGATTAGTTTTAATAAAAATTTGACACGTACATTTGTCTGCTCATCTCCAATATGCGAGTGTTTTCTTTTATCAGATTTATTTAGGGCGCAGTGAGGCAGGAATAAACATTTTTATTCAATTGGTCCTTTGTAGATGCTTCCATTGTAGGCCACGCCTGGCAAAAAACCATCTGACGGTTCTCACCCAGAAGGACTCCTTTTTAGAGTAATCATTTTGTATCTTTGAAGTAGCAACGAGCTTTTGTGAGAAATTATAATTGATTGCCGGAATTGAGAATTCCGGAATATCGGAAGCATATATTCGTTTTGATCGTCAATAATTTATCTTCACACCGCACAACTGAACCCTTTTCCATCCTACAAACACTCAATTTTCGAAAAAATGATTAATCTATAAGCACTTTCGCGATTTATTTCTCGGTTAAGATGCCGAAAAGTGTATAATTAATGAGAAATTCTGGCCTCGCAAAGCAAACACGAAATTCAAAACGTCGGTGTTTCTCTGTGCCCATTTTGCATTTTTTATGCTTGGCCAGCAAGGCATATGCGTGCATATAATTTAGGCACCGTGTTTTAGCGCATTTTACGAGTGCGAATAACAATAATTCAAACAGTTCCGTTTCGGTCACGAATCATAAATATTGGAAAAGGTTTGCCTCGATTATTCCCCGACGTATCTCACGCCTGCTTATTTACAAATAAAATTTATTTTACTACGATACTTACAATTAATGTCTAATACAGCTACTCTTGTCTCAGGTGGGACCAGATTGTTATTACTGGCCTGGCAAATCAGTCTTGCATGTAAATGTTGACGACCAACATTTGGAAATGTGAGATGATTGACGGCTATACCATCCGATCTTATCTCGTACGAATCATCGATCACTGTGTTTTCGAGAAACCACGTCACCTTCGGTCGAGGTCGACCTGAAAAATCACCGAATGACGGATAAAGAGATAAATTACTGTCAAAAGTGTCTTTAAAAATGAAGCAACACATAAATAATATAAAAATACAAACTTTTGTGAAGTCTTTTGCTATACCTACCATCAGTTTTTACTAAAGTATACTGTATTAACGCTTAGTGATAAGGAAAAGGCAATTGAGGGAAGAGAGAAACATAAAATATTCAACTGTGATTGGACAGTTCTTAATTTATACTTCTCTCTTCCGGAATTCAGTTCTACACCGTAAACAAAATACGGAGGCAGTAAATTAATTAATTGATTTTTGTGTTATTATTATTTGTTCATTTTAAATAGACAAAAATAGAAATGTAATGACAGCAAAAAGGGCACGAATATATGGTATAGCAATTTAGTTCTATTCAGTAGGATTCAAACAACGTCATCAAAGATTGGATGTTATGTGAAATTGCATTAAATGTTTTGTAGCATTGTAATATCGGACAAATATTAGATTGGATTGGAGACAAATTGTATTTGTTTATGTGTGTGCGTCTGCTTTAATTAACGTCCATGGTTGTTTGCCGACTTTAACTACCACTAAATTGAGTTTCTATGATGTAATTTTATGTCCGTTTCATTGAAATAGTTAAATCGATCGTTTTGCATCGGACATAATAATTTACACTAAATATTCAAATGATGGTTAAGAGTCGTTTTCAACTTAAAATTTTAAATGAATTAAAATATGATTCTTTTTACACTCAACGTTTAAGGGTTTTAGTTGATTTTTTCCGAAACTACGCGCCCTGAAATTTATTAAATAGCACTTACCTCCTTTTACTTCGCACAATAAATTAACGTCCGAGCCTTCATTATAGGGTCCTAATAGAATCGTCTTGTCGACTCGCTTGTCATCGTAGATGTGGATTTTTTCGGGAGGCACTAAAAAACCTTATTATTACACAGCAATCGATCAGTACTAGATGGTTTTTGAACGTATACGAAATTATTACTTTGCGAATTTGATTCTATTAGTATTGTAGTTCAGTGGCGAGAACAATAAAAAAGATTTCTTCGAGCTCACATATTTGTGTCATAAAAATTCAAATCATTAGAGCCTCTGGGACCTGACCTCACAATATAAGAATACGAATATGATACAGCAAAAAATGCTGATAATTTTATAGTCGTGACGTAAAGAAAACATTGTTGGTGAGTTTATTGGCATATTATTTCCTTTGTTGGCTGCAATAATTCTTTTATGACGTCGTAGAAAAAATACGTGGTTTTTACTTTGAAGCTTAATAATGTCTCTGCATTTAATATTTAAAAGGCGGCACTAAAATCTTTCTCAAGAAAAAATAATTTCGCTAAGCCGTTTTATGGCCCGCAGTAAAATTACTGTCCCGAGGTTACATCTTTCTAATTAAAAGATTATTGGAGGAAGGGTAGACTTTTTCAAGGGTTAGATAACGTAAAGACGGTGTGATAGGACGCCTGCTTGTAGGATTTCGAGGCGATACAGAACGGAAGACGACAGGAAGTGAACGAAGCAAGTTGTATATCGGCCGTTTCCCCTGCGGTTCGTCTCGGCATCCTTTATCCCACAATTTCTAGTGTCATCATTCTTCCCAGTTAAACTGTTCGTCGGGCCAAATCCCGCTTAAAGTTCCCCTTTTTTTCTTAAGGCACAAATAGCTCAGTAACATGCAATAACAAGCGTTGCAAATTTAATGTGGTGTTCGTCAGTAACAGCTCATAAGTGAACAAATTTGAATTCGAGTAAATTGCATTTTAGCGAAATAAAATTTGAACGCAAAAGAGAATAATGAAGATGTTTTAAGGTATTTTCAAGCCGTTTTAAACATGATAAAGTGTTATTTGACGACGCATTTGCAGCTAATATAAATTTTATTTTCAAAGCACTTAATTATTCTCGGATATACCAATACTAATATTACGAGAGATTTAGTATTTTCTTCACAAAACAATTGTCAAGGGTTTTGTTTTCAGAGCAAAAAATATCTTGTGTTAGTTTAGCTGCGTTTGTTTGGAAATAAATATTTTGTTTGTCTATTGTCTTTACTGATCTTTTAGATTGAGTCCGGCTTTGTATTTTTGTGTATTTTTGGAACACTGACAATATAGAAGCAAATTGAAAAATAATGAGTTTGATGTTAAGCAATAAAACGTGTCTTTAAACAACACTTTTTTAAATAATAGCCTTTAAATCAGTAAAATCTGTTAAATAATTTTTGGTGGAGGCGCCAGGACAGCTTTAAATAAACTTTTAACATCAAACTATATTTAAAGTAATTAATTTATTTTTAACTAAACTTGAAACAAAGTTTGATATTATGCCAATATTGTAAAAGTTTCTATTTGGAATGTTCTTTCTCAAGTGTACTTGCAAATTCTCTTTATTGGAAAATTTATTTCCAAAAATTCACTTATTTATTAGTAGTTCTTTTATTATAACGTAAACTGCAGTGAGAGAAACAACAATTAGGAAAATTTGTTCTGAAAAGTCACCGGGAGTTGAGTTCTGGTTAGTACAAGAACCCATTTTGTAAACTTGCTCGATAACGGCTGACTTTGAATAATCAAGACTCAGATAATTGTGTCTCTTGCCATGTTTTAACATATATTCTAGTTCGTTAAGTCTGCTGTATCAAAACAGCCTACGTAAAATAAGAAACTTAATACAGGTCACTACACAAAAAACAACTTGTAAAACGAATTTTGTTGTTAATATTTCAAACAACTATAAAAATAAACACTACGTTTAAGGCTTCGGATTATTTTTAGTGGTGTAAATACAGGGCATTGAAAAGTGTCAAACCAACTCTCGAATTATGACAGAAGACTTTCAGCTAAACATAAAAATAATTTCAGTTTTTTTTCAAGACTTTTTTGAGAAAAAGAAAGAAGTGTCTCTTTCCATTTTATCACGTAGGCATCTCAGCTTTTTTGTTTCCGATGTTGTCGGATTTGCTAGTTTGTTAAATGTTTTGTATCTATAAGACACAAATTGGTGATTTTTTCAACAGGTTCAATGTTGCAAGGTCTGCTGTTTCCGCTAACTAAATTCAAGAATACATGATCTAAACGGCAAAAAACTTGACCTAAAATCTAACTTTTGAAGAGCTACATCTCGTGAAAAAATGTTCAAACAATTTTTTGTTCAGGGAATTTTTAACTCAGTTGATGGTCCAACACTTCTGAATCACCCTATACAGGGTGCGCCAGAACTCGCGCCCCAGAGAAAAATGCCATATAAGGTAAGATACCAGGAACATGGAAAAAATGTTAAAAAAATTTTATCTATAAAAATTTCGAAGTTATGAGGGTTTAAAGTTTGCACTTTGACTCTATTTATTTCTGTTGGAAAAATATTTTTCAAGATTTTTTTGCTATAGGCTATTAAAACAGGAAACAATGAAGCTGTATCCTAAATTGTAACTCTGTTCAATGTTATTTATGGCTTTTATTGGCAAAATTTTTGTCCCTTTACTAAATAATTGTAAAAAAACATATACAAGATCATCAGTATCCTTAAATAGACATAAAAAAATGTTAAATATCAAAAAATAAATGTAAAAATTTATTGACAGATATAATTTTTTAAATATTTTTTTCATGTTCTGATATCTTACCTTACTTGAAAATTTTCTCTGGGGCGCGAGTTCTGGTATATGCAACTGTGGGTTTGAGTTTCCGAATTTAATTTAGGTTGTCTTTGATTAATCGTTGTAGATCCGTTTTGTGTTATAAATCAAATACGTCGTCCTGCTTAGTTTCTTATATATTGATATAAAATCCCTTCATATAAAACTTAAATTGCTTTCCCTAAAATGAGATGATATGCTGTGATTTACATTTTATCTCCGTCGGCTTGAGATACAAAAGAATTCCAGCTTAGCTTAACATTTTGGATATAGTTTTCGGTTTCCTTTCGCATTTTCATAACCGCGGGCAATATATCAAACTTTTCAATTACTAATTTTGTTATTCAAATAGCAAGATATTTGTCAGGAATGATTCCAATATTTATTCAAGTCGCTCGATCGACTTCTGAAGCGTTCTTTTTCCAGTGGGGACTCTTTTATTTTCATCATTATAATTACAGTCAATTAGAGTTCCGGTTTTGAACGAAATTACATCGGGGAATTGTCCTGGATTACCGTTCGAGTTATTAATCAGATTAATTGAATTATTTCCGATCGATAAGCTTAAACGGCCGTTTGATAAAAGTAAGGAGCAGGTGGGGCGCATCCTGGACGAGATAAGAGCTGCATTGTAAGGATAAACTTTCAGATGGATAACCTATGGCTTCATCTTCGAAGTGCACCGTCACATTTGCAGTGCGACCACGCCCGAACTTTGCCAAATTACCGATCGAAATAATTTATAGCTAATTCGATGGCTTTGTTTTCCACAATTGAATTCAATTTAACTTCCAACAATCGAATGATAGTTTACAGGATTCCAAGGGTGCCGGCCAATAACTTCCAAAACCATGTATATCATTCCACGTATCATAAAAAATTACGAAACCATTGTTATTTTGAACAAATGCATACAAAATCGGTTGGAAATATTAAATTATTATATATTTATTTGAGAAAATAACTACAGAGATTAAAATATGAAAATGTATGGAATGTGAAATATTTGTGTAAAAATTTTAAATCATGTATATAAAAATATAATATCTACAAGAAAATACCATATACCATACACGCTCTGTTTGTTTAAATAAGTAAATGGTACTCTTGTAAAGGATAAATATTTTCGATTTAAATTTTTATTTTTTGGAATTCAACCCTCTTTGGCTAAAGACTATTTTCTAACATAATTTTAGTTTAGAAAACACAAATATGCCTTGGATATTTACAAAAAACTTACTTTACTGTAGGGTAAAATGCCTTTTATGTGGTAAAAACGATAAAAATTATTAAGAAAAATACGACCCTCCACCACAGATAAAGCCGCCAAATATGAACATGAAAAGTTAAATTATTATTGTTATTTCCAAGGCATACTTGATTTTTCAAAACTAAAATGATGTTACAAATTAGTCAAGCAGGGCTGAACCTCAAAAAATTAAAATCTAAATCGAGACTCTTTTACAAAAGTCGTTTCACCTATCCGTGGAGGCACACTGTATATTGAAATATGAAAATTTAACTTAAAAAAGTGATTTGCATATTCCACACAATATTTTGTTGTATATTTTTGTTCTGCATAAAACTGAGTGCAATGTAAATAATTGTATAGGAAAACCAATTTGGCTTTAATTATGTCGACCAACTGGAATTTAACAAAAACCAAAGTAAATAGTTAAAACCGGAAAAGATGTCATAACTTCAGTCGTAGTATGGAACGGCCTATGCTCGAATTTTCTACTAGCTCGTGAATTAATTGCTAAGGTTTATTGTCGTTTTAAGCCGCCACGCCCGCAATGAATAATATTAAAGAGTAATTTTACATGTAAAAAATTCTCGAGCGAAACAATTAATAAGTCTGTGGCTTTGTTAGTCTCGGTATTTAATTACAAGATTCCAAGCAACTCCAAATGGCGTGATTTGACTTGTCTAGGTATGAAAATCAATCGTCAAGTCGGTATAAATTGTCAAAAGCAGAAAGCAACGTATAGTTTAATTAATATTTTCATAAAGCCTAAATTATAGCCAAAATCGCTGTAATTTTCATAATTTCCGAGAATGTTAATTAAACATTCCGAAGAAGTTGGAAACAAAACATAAGTCGGGTAATAATTTCATCTTGAGGTCGGAATGTGGTTTTAGCCTTATTTATTTTTAATTTCGAAGCTCACACAAAAAGGTGTTTGCATTAAAGGAGTAATACGACTTTTCTTTAAATAACTAATGAATTTTCTTGTAACTTTGTTTGTTCAACAGACCTTAATTAAGGAAATT